TGCCGCTTTATTCTTTGGCGCTGGTGGTGGCTGCCGGCCGCGCGATCGGCCTTCTTCTGGGACTCGGCCGGGGCGCGCCACTAGGGGCGCCGGTGAAGGCAAAGAGAAGGGTCAAGCGGCGCGCGGACCTTGTCCTCGTTCTTGAGACGCAGCTCCTTGAGGAGGAGTTGGTTCTCGCAACAACAAAGGTGAGGGGTTCTTGGGCGGCGATGTTGTCGGCGACGGATTGGTACTTCTCGTTGAGGCCGCGGAGCAGGTTGAGGACGAGGTTGGACTCGGTGATGGTCTGCCCGACGTCGCGAAGATTGTCGGCAGCCTCCTTCATGCGCCGCGCAAAGATTTCGCCGATGGAGGAGTCGCTTACAGGTCAACGAGTGGAACTCGTGACTTAGGAAAACAGCGCGGGGCGCCTTGTTAGCTTGGTATAGGGCGGCGATGGCTGTCCAGAGCTGGCCGGCGGTCTGCTGGGCGCCGGTCATAGCGAGGTTGAGGACGGAGTCGGAGACGGTGCCGAAGATCCAACTGCGGATGCAGAAGTCAGCCTGCACCCATGCATCATCGGTGGGCGTAGGGGAGACGACGTCAAGGTGCGAGAGCAGCCCGAATTTGCCACACATGGCGTTGAAAGCTGTGGACCACTTGGTGTAGTTGGAGGGTCGCAGCTCGAGGGTCATGGGGATGTGGGTCTTGACGTTTACCATAGCATATGGGCAAACGGTTGGGTTTATGGCTTCAGCCATGGCTGGAGAGGTGGCGGAGGTGGTGGAGGATTCTGTGGTCATGATGGCGCGGCTGTTTGGCGGCGCAGCAAGGTTGGGCAGCACTCAGGGAGAGAGCGGCGCAGGCTTGAGGGAGGAGAGGGAGGGCCAAGATCAGATTGCTCTGATTACCATGTAGAAGATGATGTTGGGGCAATAAGCCACACTCTCAATGGGAGAGGGGCGCCTCTATTATAGGGCAGCTGCTGCTGCTATATATGGCAGTTTACAAATACAAGGACAGGAGTAAATCTCTGATCCTAATTGACTGGACTGCCTAAATATGCAATATACAATCTCCTATTGCCTAATATATGCAATATACAATCTCCTATTGCCTAATACTTAGGCCACGTTTTGGTGGGCTTCTCTTCCCAAAACAACTCTGGTTTGTAGGGAATCCTGTGCGCTGTAGCTCATAGACCGTTTGGTTTTACTAGGCATGTTCCTATTTAGCACATAGACCAATGTTGCACATAAGATGACTAAATTGCCCATGCTCAAATCCCTTAATTACTCCTTAATTAATGAGTGCATCCAGACTTTTGCTTGCGGAACAACTCAGAGGAACTAGCTGCAAGCTTGCATGCACATTTAATGTGTTATTAGTTTACAGGGGTACTTTTGACAAAGCAAGAAAAAAAAAACTTGGGAACATGTACACGCCCTCTAATCTTGAACAACAATTTAAAAATTACATGCCCGCTAATTTAAAATGGAGGGAGCACTTGTTCAGCTGTCTACAATGCTAAAATGTTGTTTTCATTATTTCATCCTCAGGCATCGCTATTGATTGGTTGTCGAGTTGCAGATATTTTTCTTTCACAACCATGAACATGTTTTGATTTATTTTGTCTTGGCTATGACTTTTTCTCCCCTTCCTCAGGCTGCAAGCCAAGGAAAGAGCGTGGATCCTAACATCACTAAGTATTCTGTAAAAGTGCTACCTGTAAGCTGGTGTGCCTGTCAGTTCAATAGTTGAATTCATGTTTTCTTGTGGAGCTGACGATGGGGCCCCTGGCTTGCTGAATCTTGGCTGAAACTGGCTGAAAAACACTGTTCTAGCTGAATTGTTGTGAGAGAAAAACACTGTTCTGGCTGAAAAAACAAGCCGAACAAGCTGAATATGGGGTAAGCTGAACGGGGCCACGGTGCAGTTCAACTATGATCAGAGCGTGTATGGATTTCGAGAATATTTCAGGAAGCATGGTTTCAAGTATTATGAAACAAACTAGATCTGTTGTTAAAAATCTGCCTTAAGAGTAGTCCTAGGGACTTGAGTAGCATGGAGTCAGTTGTTGTTTGGAGTTGGATGGCGTGAAGCTCTACTGGCGTGTTAACTCTTGTCTTGTTCATTCAAGAAGTGCCTGTCATGTATTCATGTATACGTAGTCCATGCCTATAGATTAGCTTTGCCGTAATTATGAACCATTGGATTTGATAAATTAAATATTTTACCTCTCAAAGCCAGGAATGATCCATATGATATCGTTCTAAAGTATTTCTGTTTAAGAAAACAAATACTGGGAAGACTGGTTGCTATATATGGATCCGACTGGGATTTGTACATAGAAGCATTTATGTAGCCATTTCATAATAACTTTAGTTTAGAAAACATTGTATATGTATTCTAAGCATGAAAAGGCCAGGAGGCAAGAGAGTAGCATAGCTACCAGGCCACTCGTATTTCTTGGGATGCAGTTATTCTCCTCTGGTCGTCTACACAGGGACCAGACAATTATGCTGTCACCTAAATTATACAGCAAATGAAGTTGCAAGAATGATGGGGGCAATTGTCGATAAGCAAACTGGAGCATGCAGATCCGCCAGGTATGGTATGATGATACCTGTAGCAGGAGCAGCAGATCTGCCAGGCTAAGCTGACGCTACGCTGATCGCTTTTGTAGTTTTGTGCCAGCCGCTTGTGCTGGTTGTGCTAAACGTGGGGAGGGATTTGCTTTTGCATCTAGAAAGCGTGAATCTTCAGACAGGACGTACAGTACAGTGCATGCGCATTTTCTGATCGCTCCAACCCAGTCGCTGAGCATTAGAACCAAATTCTTCTCTAGTAGCATGGAGAAATGGACCTTGCAGAACTTAGAGACTTTTCCCTGTGTGCCATTATAAAATATCGTAATCCTCTGTGTGTCTCTGGAAAAATTCAGCGGTCTTCAGCGCCACTACTCAAACTTTTTCGGGTCCTTAATGCCACTTCCGTCAGTTCAGGCTCTAACGCCGTCAAACTGCAGGTGTGAAAAGACGAAAATGCCCTTAAGTTCAAATATATTATTAATTTTTTTGAGCATCTTAACGACTTCAAATGAAAAAACTCAAAACTAGAAAGTTGTAGATCTCGTCGAGATCTATAATTTTCATATAAAAATTATTTTCATTTAATTCCGCAAAAAAAATATGATTTGATATGATTAATATATCTTAGAAAAATCATCATATTTTTTTTGCGGAATTAAATTAAAATAATTTTTATATGAAAATTATAGATCTCGACGAGATCTACAACTTTCTAGTTTTGAGTTTTTTCATTTGAAGTCGTTAAGATGCTCAAAAAAAATTAATAACATATTTGAACTTAAGGGCATTTTTGTCTTTTCACACCTGTAGTTTGACGGCGTTAGAGCCTGAACTGACGGAAGTGGCATGGAGGACCCGAAAAAGTTGAAGTAGTGGCGCTGAAGACCGCTGAATTTTTTCAGGAGCACAGAGGGGATTACGATCTTTTATAATGGCACACAGGGAAAAGTCTCCATAACTTAATAGTATTGTCGTGCAAATATCTGACGGAATCAGTAAGGCAACATAGTCATATTCGTCCTTGACCTTTTGTCCAAAGCTTAAATTTGTCCCTCAACTATCAAAATGGCCGTTTTAGTTCTTGAATTTGCAATTTTGGCACAATCTCATCCTCCATCCCCACGTGGCTTGCCACGTCAGCATACTTGGCTAGAGTTTGATGCTCAAATATAGAGAATCGCTCTGTCAGTCTGCCATGCGTGCTTGTTCCGTGCGTGCTGGTCCAGTCTTTTTGCATTGGTGTCTTGTGTTTTTGCATTGTAAGTGGCTGTGGCGTGTGGCTAGTCATGCAAGGATTTTGAAATCAAATGATCTTTCTAGAAAATAGCATGTATCATTTCTCAATGTTAGCTCACATAACAAAGATTATACACAAAGGATTGACCATGCATTCAATACCTACTGAAATTACATGATGCTCTTTTTTGAAGCCGCAAGTTGTTTTCCTATTCTTTTTCTGGGAGGAGCTGCTTTGTCTTGCTGCTGATCCACGTCCAAGTGAAGACGTGAAGTGAATTGAATGTTTGCAGATGCTTCAGCAGTTGACTTACATCTTGAAAAATAAAACAGTCTTTTAGATGTGGCTGAACGCTTTCTTTTAGATTGCTTGGATTGTGCTGGTTCAATGCCAGCTTGTTGTGATGGATTATGCGACCCGGTGTCCTGTTGTTATATGGTAGAAGTTAGTGCCATCTTATGTGAAACAATGCATTATAATAGTAAGGAAAAAATCAGAAATGTATAAACACCATTTTCACACAGCGTGTCCCGGAGTTGTGACCCATATTTTTTTTAGCAACGACATCTACTTTTAGTACCAACTCTTGATGACTTGGTGCCTGATTTCACTGGTTTTGAAGGGTCTTTCCTTCTCAAATAAGAAGTATGCTGGCAAGCCACGTAGGATGAAGGGTGAGATCGAGCCAAAATTGTAAATTTGAGGACTAATGTGGCCGTTTTCATAGTTGAGGAACTAATTTAGGCCTGGGTTGAAATTTCAAGGACGAACATGCTATTTCGCCAATCAGTAAAGATGGCAGCAAGCTTTGCTAGCTTGAAAAAATTACGCACTCACGTCTCTCGTGGATCACGATCGGCAGCGTAGCATCATTATTTCTTGGATCTTGGGGAGAAGAGAGTGAGACGAGGCACGACGACGAGATTCGTATCTGGGCCCACGTGCAGTCACAGTCACAGAGCCGGTGGAATCTGCGGTTGGAGAATTGCTGCGGGCCCACCTGTCCCCGGACGTTTCTTCCGAAATCATTCCACGCTAGTACAAATAGCACATCGAGGGCTCTCAGGCCTTGCAGCCGCGGACCAAACACACAAACACACAATTAGCTCGCTGTCTGCCGGTGTCAGCTTCCATTCCAGATCAAGAAGCGCCGAGCGCCAAGCAGAGCAGAGCAGAGAAGCTGGTGAGGAGCGATGGAAGCGAAGAACGGCTACAGCCCGCTCGGCGGGGACGACCACGAGGCGGCGGCGGTGATCCGCGCCACCGGCGCCGGTTTTGAAGGCGACGACGTCAAGCTCAGGCTGCTCGGATACAAGCAGCAGCTCAAGCGAGACCTCTCGTAAGTTCTTTTCTACCTGCTCTGCTCGATCTCGCGCTTCTGTTCGTCGGAACGACCCTGCCCTGTTCAAGTTTCCCCTTCTCTCTCATTTCTCTTCTCCCTTAGTTCGTGATTTCGTGGGTGCAACCGCGCAGATCGATCTCATCTCATGCGCTTTCGTGTGGCCAGCCGGTAAGCTAGTTACGTGCTTCTAATAATTTCCTCCCGACGATGGATCATCTATCTGTTGCTTGCGGGCTTTGCGTTATTGTGTACTCGGTTAATTACTCATCACTTGGTCGGGACAAAAAAAAAAAACTAGGCCAGTAGGCCTTGCGTGTTCGATCGATGTACGTCGTGTTCATGAGATCGATCTACTGTCGCGTGAGGTCGCTCTCACAATGTATAAATCTACACCTACCAGAATTCTTTAAGGTAGACGTCGACTGGACGACCCTGCTTTATGGGTTCAAGCAACCTCTCTGTTAAATTTCATCAAAGGTACTAGCAATACGACTCGCTGATGAGGAATTATACAGCTTTTTTTTTTCTCGAATACGTAAAAGATTTACGTATCATTGTATTAAGTAGAAGAATTTAAGTAAACATATAACACGCTTGTATCGAGCGCCGAAGAAGGTCGACAACACAGCCGTAGTTGGTCCATCCTAGCTAAGGACCTCTTGTTTCGAAATTGCATAAAAGAAAACAACCAATACCGACGCAACGGTGCGACCTAGAAGGTAACCACGTCTTCACGGCTGTCTAGACGAGCCATTTCCATTGGCCGGGAAGAGCGCGTCCATTGTCTCGGCGTTGGACGCAGTCAGCCCTTCCATTTTCCGAGATCGTGATGATGGCAAGCTACAGTCTGTTCGCTTCCTCGTAAACGATCGTAAATTTCCAGCCGGGAACAGTATTTTTCTCTCACACCAAAACAGCCAGCATTAAATAATCCACGATATGATACGGCCTCCCGAACAGGCTGCTAGTCAAGCAGCCACATGCCCACATCCACACGTGGACATTAATGACTCAGTTCGCTTGTCTTATGAGCTGTACTATTTCAATAAACAAACAATATTTTTTTTCTCACAACAAATCAGCGAACAGTATTTTCAGCCATAGCTTTCCAGCAAAGCGAAGAGGGCCATTTACTGATAGGGAGTCCTTGCTGCTCCTTTGAGTAAGTGAGCCAATGATGAATGTATCTTTGAGTAAGCGAGACAATTGGGCATGTTCAATGTACGTGACGTTAGACGACATTACACGCTCCACTGTTTGTAGCACGGGAGGCAAAAGCTAAAAGAACTGGGCCTAAAATGAATGAATACCGAACCGAAATCATTTCGGCCCAAAACTAACCTGCCTAATTACCTTTTGCGGTCACGGTCACGCAGGGTGGTGGCCAACTTCTCGGTGAGCTTCTCCATCATATCGGTGATCACGGGCGTGACGACGCTGTACGGGACGGGCCTCCAGTTTGGCGGGCCGGTGACGATGGTGTACGGCTGGCCCATCGCCGGTGCCTTCACCGTCGCCGTGGGCCTCGCCATGGCCGAGATCTGCTCCGCCTACCCCACCTCCGGCGGGCTCTACTTCTGGAGCGCCAGGCTCTGCACCCACCGCCGCTGGGGACCCTTCGCCGCCTGGCTCACCGGCTGGTACGTGTGCTAATTCTGCTTCTACTTCTATTCTATCTACCACGACATTTTACATTACATTACTACCAGCTGCTTTATTATTATTACTCCTTGTTCTAGACTTCTACTAGTACTATTTCAAAACAGAACAAGCTGCAAATGCACTGACTAAAGGAAAAGAAAAAAGTCCACGTTACCTCCATCAACTTTTAAAACCGTTCATTTTACCTCAACTTTTAAAACAAAATTCAAGCGAAATAAATAAAAGAGAAAAAGACAAAACCGTCTTCAAAACCGCTTCTAACAGGGCCAGGGAGGTAAGATGAACGGTTTTAAAAGTTGAGGGAGGTGTTTTGTCCTGGTTTTGGAGTTCGGGGAGGAAAAAACGGACTTTCACGAAAGTTGAGGAGTTAATGTGGACTTTTTCCAAAGGAAAATGTGCAAAGGTTGAAAGAGCGGCCTGGCCCATACATTGTCAGGCCCAAAATAAACCAGCCTTTTCTTAATTTCCCGGCCTGACAAACGCCGAAGTGCCGCCGTTGGAGTTTTTGAGGTGCAAAGCTAATTGAGTATGCACCAAACTTTCCTCTAGCGTGTGCAAAGTTACTACTGGTACTAGTACAGGTGCAAGATATTCGAAGCATACTATCATTGCTTGGTTTGGTTGTACAGGTACAACCAAATCATCATAATTTGACAATTCGATTCTACAAGTCTCTCTGTCCAACCCGATCAAAAGTCTCTCTGTCCAACTTAGATTGTGTCACCAATTAATAACGGGGAGACGCAAGCGGCGAGCGTCCGGCACGCGATTGCATTTTTGATACGCTACTATTAGCCGTGACTTTCGACAAAAGATCCTCCAGCTCCAGGAGAAAAAGAGACGAGCATCTCTAATTCTATATAGCATTATTATTCGGCTGCAGAATGTGCTGCCGTATCGTCCTAGCAAAGATCGCGTCGCAATTTGGCCGCACCCCTCCGATCCGATGTATCCATTGGGTTTTTCTTCTTCTTCTTCTTCTTCTTCTTCCACATAGGGTAGGGGGCAGTAGTTTTTTTATAAGACGTATTGATATTTCTAGATAATGATTTTTACTATATATTTAGACATAACATATATCTAGATACATAAATTTTTTTTAAAAAACCAAACGTCTTATACTTTACAACGGATGTATACTTTAGTGCGGATGGAGTACTAATTAAATTACAGGCTGCTCCACGTCATTATCGAAATCGATAGCATTCAGTGTGGATGCCATAAGCTAGCGGTGCTCCACAAGTCATTCACGCATATATACTTTCCGTACGTGACCCAAACGCGGCCGCGGCGCGTCGGCGTCCGCACCCGCACCCACGTCGGCTTGTCATAGTGCCACGCCGCTGCTGGAGGACACGGAGAGACCTGACGACGGGTCGTCGTATCTATTCTCTGCGCCGCCGCGCGCGCCGACCTCCCATCTCCATCTCGGCATCCCGGTTCGGCTGGTACGTCGCCGTCATCTGCCTCCTGCCTGCCGATGCCGAGATCTCCTCTCAAGTCCTCTTGCATTATTCGCCGGTTTGTCTGCTCGGACGGTGGCCACGTACGGTGGAGACGATCCTACTTGCCGGCCGTCCCGTTCGTGCCGCTGGCCATGCCAATCCGCTAGTGCCAAAAGCTGCTGCGGCGCGTACGTGCCCGATAGATGGATGCATGGTTTGCCTCTATCTGTCTGTACGTGATACGCAGGCAACAAGATCGCCACATGATCCACACCCAGCCAGCGGCCATCCGCATCACAATGATACAGATAGTACAGCATTTTTATATTAGTATAATCTCGACCATGCCTGCCTGCCAATGAGATCGTCCGATCGCATTGTTCGTATCTCATCAATCAAACAGGAGGGATGCCATCTTCAACTGCAGAAGAAGATGTAATCCCAATTTTCTTCTTGGTCAAACTATCTAAAACATGGTCATACTTACAGAAAAAAAAACTACTAATACTTATGAGACTGAATAGATATACTATTAGAATACATTAAACAAAAATCTAACCACACTAATTTCATATCATAAATATTAATATTTTCTATATAAACTTGGTCAAACTAAAAATGCTTTGATTCATTACCACTATTACACAAAACATCCGTATGGATGGTCAAAAGGCCTTTAGAGATAATTTTTCTGAGACTAGCTCTACCTAAGGGCATCTAGAGATCAACGATTTCTAAGAGTGAATATGCAACCGTTCCCTATAAATGGATTTAGGGCTTGATGATAATGTGGCCCGTCTTTATTATTTTCTAGAAATTGTAAGTTGGCCATAAAAATCCCAAGACAAACCCACTTGTGAAGTACTACGAGTGATGTAGCGTGATGTTTTGCGTGAAATACGTGTGCGTGTAATTAATCGAACTCGTGAATACATGAGCTCCACCAACCACCACATCGCACAATCACTTGTGACCAAGTAAAGGAGCTATCTTTTGGTACTAACTTTTACGAATCTTGTATTGAATATTTGGGCCCTTAAATGATCACGAATAAAAAAAGGTCATTAACTATAAAGTTTAGATCTCATCAAACATCACGAGTTTAGTATATAGTATGTATATCTGAAACCGTTTGAACATTCTGAATTTTAAAATTTAAAAGTTACATTTTACCTTTTGTCCTTAATTGATTTAAAATAAAGAATTAACTATAGAGTTTAGATCTCATCGAACTTTACAAGGTTAGAAAGACTCCGTCTAAAAAGATTATGATAAAGGGGCCCAAAAAGAAAAAAAATGTATCGCCTGTTTTTAGAGGCGGCGGTTGAAAACAACCATCTCCTAGAAATTGATATTTTAGAGGAGGAGATGTCATCGTCTGCCTCTAAAAATAGAGGGTATTTATAAGGGTTCTCAAAAAACATCAATAGCTTAGGATGTATGTTTCTAAACTATTTATAAAGGCAGTTTTTTATTCAACCGTTGCTAAAAAACGATGCATCTGAAAATCGTTTGTGTTTTAGTAGCGTGATGATATTGCCAGAATTGTATTCTTTCGATATTTTTAGATGGAGAGAGAGTACAGTTATTAGGTAGAGAATCCTTCAATTTTAAATTACTTTTTTAATATATAGATTTTGCTACGTATCTAGATATATCCAGATACATAGCAAAATCTATGTAACAAAAAAGTCAAAACGATGTATAATTTAGAACGGAGTGAATAGTTATTATTAAATGAGAAATAGGGATATACATGTAAAGCGTGCGTGCTGAACCGAATCCCGAATCATGTGAAATCAAATACAAAGAATCGTATCACCTTGTACGCACGCCAATCGGCCACATCAGCACATGGAAAAGGAAGAACCAGTGTGCACGCTTTGGACTCCAGATTGCGCAGAAATTACTGTAACTAAGAAACACAACCAAACTATGGCAGTCAGCTTGATTCTTCATTTGTTTGCATAGATAACGGATTCTGCCTGGAGATATGGAGTATCCAGTGGCTCCGTTCGGCTCGTTGAATCTTGACTGAAATTGGCTGAAAACATTGTTCTGGCTGAAATATTGTGAGAGAAAAATATTGTTCTGGCTGAAAAAAAAAACTGAACAAGCCAGATATAGGATAAGCCGAACGGGGCCATTTCCTGAGAATAATCACATTATTAAGTAGCCAGCTATATACAGAATTTTATATTAGGAATCTTTGGTCGGTAGTTTATCTTTTAATCTCTGATCGGTAGTGTTTTGTTGAGGAGATGTTAACCAAAGCATAAACAGTGGATTAAGGCTAAAGGTACATATACGCCCTCACCCTGACCCAGCGTCGCCGCTCCCTAGCTTATTGCGCCTTGGTCGCCCTCGTCCCAGGCCCCGGGGCGAAGAAAACGGCGACGGAGAAGAAGCCACTTCCATTGTATTAGTCAAATGAAATCCTTGTGTTTTTAAGCACGGGACATAACTTAGGTCGTGCTGCAATAAAGTTGACAAAGCTTACGAAAAACGCATCGTGTGACACACACCACGCCATGTGTCTTTTTGCATGCCATTTGGCCGTGGCACGCCATGTCTAATGTCTCCACTGTGTAGATTTTAGATATGAAATTTTGGTCTTATATTAGGAAAAGGTTGCACCAGTTGGAGTCATGTACAGATGTACTCCTCCGTGTGCCATACGTTGAGGTCATGCTTCATGCAGTCATGCCCATCCTCCTCCTGACGGGCAGGGAATCTCGCTGCTGTCGCAGATCCATCGTCGTCCAGTTGGACATAATCTGTGTCCCGACTAAGGAGTGAAATAAGGCCCTGTGTAGTTCTTTTCCCCTAAGTTTACTTTCTATCTCATTCAATATTTGAACATATATATATGTAGTATTAAATATAGATTAAAAAATAACTAATTATATAGTTTATAACTAATTTACGAGACGAATATTTTAAGCCTAATTAGTCCATGATTTGATAATGTGATACTACAGTAACACATATGCTAACGTCGAATTAATTAGGCTTAATAAATTCGTTTCACGGATTACTAACGAATTCTGTAATTTATTTTTTATTAGTATCTAAACATCCCGTGTCCAAAACTTTACGTCTTAAATTTAAACCAGACATTAAAAAAAAGTTTAACGAACCCATCCCAGCAGCCACATCTGGTCATCTGGGCCCGTTTTCTCGGGCCCCAGCGCACTTTTGAGTTGACTGCAGCGGCCGCGCTCAGAGCGGCCACACTTCCTTCTCCCTTCCAGTCTCCCCTCCCATTCCTTGATTCCCTCCTCCAAGTAGCGGCAGCGATATATCCTCCCCTGTGTCAAGCTCACCGTCTCCTACTGCAGCCAAGTCCGCAGCACACGCCAGCCTCCGGCAACGACTCCGTCACGGAGCTAGCAGCTAGACCGACGCGGCGCGCGCCATGACGTGGAACAGGTCCCCGGCCGACGGCGGCGGCAGCAGCACCGGGAGGACCCCCGACGTGGCCGTGGCCGTGGCCGTCGACAACGGCGGCGACGACACCGGCCTGGCGCGCCTCCGGGAGCTCGGGTACAAGCAGGAGCTCAAGCGCGACCTCTCGTACGTCCCTCCCTCGTCACCTCCGTCGCCGATCGCGCGCCTTCTTTCTTTCTTTCTTCCGTTCGTTCGTTCGTTCGTTCGTTCGTTTGATCGACGACTGCGACGGCGACCGCGCGCGCGCTCGTTTGTCTGTCTGTCTGCCTCTGCCAGGGTGTTGTCCAACTTCGCCTTCTCCTTCTCCATCATCTCGGTGCTGACTGGGGTCACGACGCTCTACAACACGGGGCTCAACTTCGGCGGCCCCGCCACCATGACGTTCGGCTGGTTCGTGGCCGGCGCCTTCACCATGGCCGTCGGCACCTCCATGGCCGAGATCTGCTCCTCCTTCCCCACCTCCGGGGGGCTCTACTACTGGAGCGCGCGCCTCTCCGGCAAGCGATGGGCCCCGTGCGCATCCTGGATCACCGGATGGTACGCTAACTACCTACCCGTTCGCAGTCGTCGCGGCATGCATCTCGATCGATCATTATGTTATCCGCCGCGCGAGTTGCGTTACGTTCTTTTTCAGAGGACTGCTCGATCGCCGGGTTTCTTGTCTCGTTTTATTAGGAATTGGGAATTTTTGGATGGTTGGACTTTGGAGAGGAGACGGGGAGGATCATGTGAAACTGCAACTGCTTGGTTGTGTGTGTCTGTGTGATTACAATATTGTTGCTTTTCCCTGATTCCTTCTGGTGTGACACCGCAACTGCGTGAGCGACATGCAACTTGGCATGTTTCTCTCTCTCTCTCTTTTCTTTCTCTCTCTCTCTCTCCATTTTTTCCTCATGGATGGAATTGCTTTGCTTGTTTGATTGAGTTCGCCAAATTTCATATAAAAATTATGGACGACTCATCATATTTTTTTGTCAGAAAATATAGATGAGAAAATGGAGTCTTTGTTTTATTTGGATTTGGAAACTTATGTGCCCCGGCCATTGGCGCAAGTGGCATTTGAGGACCCAAAAAGTTGAGTAGTGTTCTTTTTGCCTTTTTAGACATTTTATGATTTTTATAATGACACTCTTGCTTTTTGATTGAGTTCGCCAAATGGGGATGGACGACTTGTCAGGATTGAGAAAAATGGAGTCTTTGTTTTATTTGGATTTGGAACCATGTGCCCCGGCCATTGGTCAATATGCGCGCTTTGATCTTTGCCCTGTTCGTTTATGCTTGTTTGGTTTTATAAGTCTGTATTTTTTTAACCAATCTAATAATATTTTTCTCTCACACCAATCAGCCTATCAAAGATTTTTTAAGCCATGGCTTATCACCAAACAAACCCAAACGAAAGAAGGACACGCCACGCCGCCTCCGAGGACTACGGCCCTGTTTGGTATTTGGCTTTTGGTCCCAAAAAAAAGCCCAACCCAAACTAAAGAAGGACACTGCCCATTTTTTGCCGCTTTTGGCTTTTGGACTAAATTTGGAATAAAAAGCTCTTCCATAGTTGTTCAAGAGAACAAAATAAAAGGGCGTTTAAAAACTTGGTTCCTTTCTAACGAAAGACGAGACTCCTGGCAGATTTTCTCCCAAACATTTGAAAAACAGGTAAATTTACTTCCGTATAAACTTGGTCGAAAGACGAATTAATCAGTGAAAAGAACAATATGGTCGGGAATTAATCAGTGGAACAATCATCATCAGCCTTTCAGTAAACGGTTGCTTCAGTTACCTACTACAGTACATTACATAGAGGATTAGGAATTAGTACTGCTCTGTTTGGGGAGTTGTCAAATGTCAATGATTGGTCGCCTATTCGTTTGAACTTATCAGCCGTCTTATCAGCTAGAATCTACAGTATTTTTCTCTCATAATAAATCAGCTTCAGCCGTCTTTAATACCAGCCGAACAGGCCCGAACACAAACGACAACTCCCCTGCATTTAGATATGGGTTAGTTCATGGGTTAGTTCAAGAACGGCGAAACCTTGTTGGTCACATTCACTCTCTTTAAAACCCTGATGAAGCCAACAAATTAAGTTTCCGTCACGTTGTTGATGCACTGTACTATAAGTATATTTGATTCCAGCACATTTCCTTTCTTTTCAGCCTCTAATCTAACTTAACATACGTGTGTGTCTTTTTTTTTTGTCCGTGTGACTGCTTTCAGGTTCAACGTTGTTGGACAGGTGGGCCATCATTTGCCTGAACCTCCCTCGTTTTATCCTCCAAAAAAGTGACTGTTTGCTTAACTGAGCCGAGGTCCTCCTGTGCAGTGGGCGGTAACCACGAGCGTGGACTACTCCCTGGCGCAGCTGATCCAGGTGATCATCCTGCTGGCCACCGGCGGCAAGAACGGCGGCGGCTACCTGGCGTCCAAGTACATGGTGATCGCCTTCCACGCCGCCATCCTGCTCAGCCACGCCGTCATCAACAGCCTCCCCATCACCTGCCTCTCCTTCTTCGGCCAGTTCGCGGCCGCCTGGAACATGCTAGGCGTGTTTGTGCTGATGATTGCCGTGCCCACCGTTGCCACCGAGAGGGCGAGCGCCGAGTTCGTGTTCACCCACTTCAACACCGACAACGGCGCCGGGATTCGCAGCAACCTGTACATCTTCGTCCTGGGCCTGCTCATGAGCCAGTACACGCTCACAGGGTACGACGCCTCTGCGCATATGGTGAGAACCTTTCAGAGCTCTGCAGATATAGCTAACAATGCAGACATGCAGTAGTGTCCTCTGTCCTGAATAATCCTGATGCGGTTGCGATATGCATGCAGACTGAAGAGACGAAGAACGCAGACAAGAACGGCCCGATCGGCATCATCAGCGCCATCGGCATCTCCATCCTGGTGGGCTGGGGGTACATCCTCGGCATCACCTTCGCGGTGAAGGACATCCCCTACCTGCTGAGCCCCGACAACGACGCCGGCGGCTACGCCATCGCCGAGGTGTTCTACCTCGCCTTCAAGAGCCGCTACGGGAGCGGCGTCGGCGGGATCGTCTGCCTCGGGGTCGTCGCCGTCGCCATCTACTTTTGCGGTATGAGCTCCGTCACCAGCAACTCCAGGATGGCCTACGCCTTCTCCAGGGACGGCGCCATGCCTTTCTCCTCCGTCTGGCACAAGGTCAACAAGCAGGAGGTGCCCATCAACGCCGTCTGGCTCTCGGCTTTCATCGCGCTCTGCATGGCGCTGCCGGTAAATTTCTATTTCTTTCACATGCATGTCAGCAGCTTTTACTTGCCATGATCGAAAAATTCAGCATGCGTGTGTTGCTGACTGCTCTCTCATCCATGCAGTCCCTGGGCAGCCTGGTGGCGTTCCAGGCGATGGTGTCGATCGCGACGATCGGGCTGTACATCTCGTACGCGCTGCCGATCCTGTTCCGGGTGACGCTGGCGCGCAAGTACTTCGTGCCGGGGCCCTTCAACCTGGGCCGCTACGGCGTCCTGGTCGGCTGGGTCGCCGTGCTCTGGGTGGCCACCATCACCGTGCTCTTCTCACTGCCGGTCACGTACCCGGTCACCAAGGACACGCTCAACTACACACCCGTCGCCGTCGGGGGCCTCTTCTTCCTCGTCCTCGCGTCCTGGGTGCTCAGCGCCAGGCACTGGTTCAAGGGCCCCGTCACCAATCTGGACGGATGAATTGGGTTGCTGGACATGCATCGTCAAGCATCATGCATTCATCGTTCATGCCGGGGTGGAGTCGGATCGGATATATGTTGAGCCGGCCCTGTCGCGCAGTGGAGGCTAAGGCTACTCACAAGCTAGTGGCGGCTGCTGCTGTAGCTAGGCTGCCTGCTTTGTTTATAGCATAGTAAACTGTGCGTGAGTAGAGACAGGGAAGAGTTCGAGGCAGTTCACTTGAACTTATCAGCTAAAATTTATAATATTTTTTTTCTTACAACAAATCAGCTTCAACTGGCTTATTAGGCTTGTTCGGCAGGACTGAAAAATACTATTTTGGCAGGGCGTGAATAGTGATTCCATGAGTTGGCTGGCCAGTCAGCCAGCCGACTTAAAGCCAGCCGAACATGCCCTTAGCCAACTTTAATACCAGCTGAACAGACCGTCCGTTATAACTACTTTGTTCAAAAAAAAAAAAAAAGGACTAGGAAGGAAACGGATGGAATGAATTATCTCGCAATTGATAAATGCATCTGAGAAGTAGGACTGACATGTTAGGCAAACCTATCAGGAGGCAAATTTTGAAGGACCCGGTCCTTCCTTCATCATGGAGGACCTTGCTCCTCAAATGACATGTGTATCTCAAAGCACATGTATCCCCATTGCTCCTTCCAGGCCTCGTTTAGATCGTAATTTTTTGCAACCTGGACACTGTAGCATATTTCGTTTGTATTTGACAAACTTTGTCTGATCATGGACTAACTAGGCTTAAAAGATCCGTCTCGTGATTTACAACCAAACTGTGTAATTAGTTATTTTTTTTACCTATATTTAACGCTCCATGTATACGTCCAAAAATTGATGTGATGAAGAGAGAGTGAAAAAACTTGAAATTTGGAGGTGATCTAAACAAGGCCCCAATTCCAATCTATTTCCTATTGCAATCTGACGGCACGTTACCCACGTTAAGTCTTTCCTTGCATCATATCGGAAGGCACCGTACCGGCAGCCAAGCACGGAGAGTTCATCCTTTCATCAGAAGCCACCGTACCAGCAGCCGCTGGCTACGTGCGCCCGAGAGATCGAAGTACGCGCGTCGCTCCTTTGCTTGGAGCTCCGGCTACGGCGTCGCGTTCGCACGTCACTACGCGGCGGCCAGCGCGCCAGAGCGGCTCACGGCGTGGCCCAAGGCCGGCCTGTTCCTGGACTCCGGCGGCGGTGGAACAAGCGTCAGGCACCTGTTACGCGTAGCTGGGATGGATCCGAGCCAAGGAGATGCTGCCGCGACGGCGGGCACAGGTTTGCGATCAAGTTCTTGTTTCGCCGTGTCTTCCGTGGTCAAGGAGCTAAGGGCCATCGCAGAAGCTGTCGCCGGTAGGTTTGCTCTAAAGTTGCAACCAGCTGGCCATGGTGGTATGAGCGAAAGTTTTTATCCCAGTGTTGAGGATGGAGATTTGAACTCTAATGTTGAGAAAATAGAAGAAATTGCAGGTTTTGAGGTGAGCGAGGAACACGTTTCTATTTAATGAAGTAATTTATTGTGTGCATATGTGACATATACGGTATATATATAGGCAATTTAAATTAAGGATGCTTACGGTATAAGTAGCTAGTGCTCGGGAGCTTTTTCACCTTCATACTCGCTGAAAGTTGACATGTTTGTCTTCTGACCATATGTTGCAGCCTGCTGTTCGTGGTGATCTGGGTAAAATCTCTTGTCCTATCTTTGAGGATGGTGATGAATATTTTAACTCTGACAACGAGAAATCCGAAGAAACTGCTGCAACATGTTTGGAGGTTAGTGAGATATTTCTATAATTATGAAGTAATTTTCTATGAAGGATACTCTCGGCAAAAGTAATTGATATGGGATATGCCGCTTTGGTGTACGTAGGGTAATGAACAAACTTTCTCAACTGAACTTGTGCCAGAGGTTGGCATGATCTTTACTTCGGAGGAAGAAGCATACAAGTTTTATAATACATATGCCGGAAAAGTCGGCTTTAGTATCAAGAAGTGCCACACTAAACATACAGCAGATGGCACGCTATCTTCGAAGTATTTTGTTTGCAGCAATGAAGGTCACAAGAACACTAATCGAGAATATCAACCAAAGAAAGAGCGTGCTTCAACAAGGACATGCTATAATGCTCGTGTCCAATTCTCTGTCACGAGAAGGGATTTGGACGATGCAGTGAGTCATACTCACTCATAATCATAGCTTTGTAAGCCCTGACAAGACACACATGCTTAGATCACAGCGGCGTATGACAAAAGCGGACGAGCATATTATTAGCAAAATGCGGCAAGCTGGTGTTAGGCCAACTGAAATATATGATTTTTTTCAACGGTGGTCAGGGGGAGCTGAGAATGTGCAGTTCTTGAAAATGGATTGCAATAACTTCATTGGTCGTGAGCGTAAAAGGTACTTGGAAGCCCAAGATGCACAAACCCTATTGGAATATTTAGAGAACAAACAAGTTCAAATCCTTCTTTCTATTATGCTGTGCAATTAGGCAAAGAGGATGGCCGAATATGTAACTTCTTTTGGGCAGATGGTCAGGCCATTGCAGACTATGCTTGCTTAGGGGATGTCATGTGCGTTGACACTACATTTCAGACAAATAAACCTGAAATGCCTTTTGCTCCTATTCTTGGAACAAATCATCACAGGCAAACCATCATTTTTGGAGCTGCACTATTATTCGATGAAAGTGCTGATTCATTTGTATGGGTATTTAGAAATTTTTTGAAAGCAATGTCTGGGAAGCAACCAGTCACCATTTTCACAGATCAATGTGCTGCAATGGAAAAGGCAATTAAGCTTGTTTTTCCAAACGCAAGCCATCGCCTTTGCCTATGGCACATATACTAGAATGCTGCAAAACACCTTAGCCAAGTAATATCCGATAATGAGGATTTTCTAAAGGACTTCAAGTATTGTGTATATGAAGAAAGATCAATAGCGCATTTTAACAAGAGGTGGCAGGAGTTATTGGATACTTACGGAGTTGGACATAATTCATGGTTGCAAAATTTGTATGCACTACGTGAGAAATGGCCACCGTGTATCGTCGTGATTCATTTTGTGCGGACATGACATCCACTCAAAGGAGTGAAGGTATGAATAATGTGTTTAAAAGAACTTTCCGTAGAAAGCTCTCTATTTCAGAACTCCTGGTGGAATTTGACAAGTGTGCTGCACGCCTTCGTGGTAATGAGTTATATGAAGATTACAAATCACAGAGTTCAGAACCGGTTCTCTGTGTTAGTAACTTACCTTTGTTGAAGGCCGCTGCTGAATCATATACAAGAAATATGTATAGCTTTTTGAGGAGGAATTCAAAAAGCAGTTTGTTCTTTAATGCACACTGCTATCTCACGAAGGGACAACAAGGTCGTACAAGGTAGCATCCATGGAGTGGAGTTGGGATGAAGCTACAGTCACTTTTGATTCAAATGATATGCAAATGTTTTGCTCATGCAAAAAGTGCGAGGTATGTAACTGTGTTGTTATCAAGATGTCACTTTGCAGTACTGTTTTATTAAGTATGAGGTATTTTTGGGATGGATTTAGGTATTTATGTACTCTCTCATTTCCAAATTATAAGTCGCTTTGACTTTTTTGTACATCAATTTTGCTATACATCTAGATATAACAATATGTCTAGATACATAAATAAATAGATGAATCAAAAAAGTCAAAGTGACTTATAATTTAGAACAGATGGAGTATAAGATTTCTGATTTCTAAGACTAGCTGTAAGATTTCCAGTGTGTCTGTTGTTTCAGTGTAATCATTTTCAGCAAAAACAACCTTGTATACAGGATTCAACTCTGCCAAGATGCCATATGTATTTTAGATAAAAATTTACATTGTGCATACATCTTGTGCCATTTAGGATTGAGATATTGATGCGGACGTTAGCCATAAAATCAAAGCAGTGTGGATCAAGTGTCGACAAGCTTCTGTCATTCTTTGTGACAAGAGGGTACCACAAAAGCTAAAAGGCAAGTTCTATAGAACGACGATTAGACCGGCTATGTTGTATGGAGCAGAATGTTGGCCTACAAAGATTCGACATGTTCAACAACTGAGTGTTGCAGAAATACGTATGTTGCGATGGATTTGCGGTCACACAAGAATGGACCAACTTCGGAACGATGATATACGTGATCGCCTAGAGGTAGCATCAATTGAAGAAAAACTTGTCCAACATCGGTTGAGGTGGTTTAACCATGTCAAAAGGAGACCTCCAGATGCACCAGTACATTATGAAGTCCTAAGCCAAGCTAATAATATGAGGAGAGGTAGAGAAAGACCGAAATTGACATGAATAAAAAGATATTTGAAAGCTTGAGATATAGCTAGAGATCTATGTTTGAATAGGAGTACTTAGAAACAGCTATTGAAGTACATGAACCATGACTTGGAGCTCTTGGTGGGTTTCAACTCTAGCCTCCCCTAACTTGCTTGGGACTGAAAGATTATGTTGTTGTTGTAGTAGTATACATCTTGTGCCATTTGGACGGCAACTCTTACAAAGCAATTTCAGAACAAAACCATTGTCTAAGCTAGACCGGAAAATTTGTACGCTGATCTACTTGGGTCCTTTGCAACCTCTGCGAAATATCCATCAACAAAAGTCCAGCACATATGTCCACACTTTATCAAATTCTTGGCTTTCGTAGCTTCAAGAGGAACCTGCATGAAACTGAACATCATCCAATGGCAACAGGAGTGGATGGTAGGGCCTTGTTCGGCTGGCTGGTGGCTGGCCGGCCGGCCACCTCATTCACGAAATCACTGTTTATGTGAACAGTATTTCCAGACAGAATAATATTTTTCTCTCATAATAATCAGCCGGAACAGTATTTTGATTTATTTTTCAGTCCTGCCGAACAGGCCATAGGTAGCATCGCCATGTATCATTGATATAGCCTTTTTTTACCAATGCAAAGAGCTAATTCTTCAAATGACATAGACACAACTCATCGCTGATTTATCCCCAGTGCAT